TGACTATAAGTGGCTGATTGGTGGGGACATTGGTAATGTACTGTGTAAGTTAACTCTCTTTACAATAGAAATGTCTTTCGCTGTTTCTGCATATAGCTGTGTTGCCATTGCTATTGACCGCTATTTCGCCGTGGCTCATCCATTTATGAAACCTCTCAAGGGCAAGATGAAACATGCCATTGTAGCTATTTGGATTGTTGCAGCCGTAATCTGTTCACCATATTTGTTCTTTTTAACAACACTACAATATGGCAACTCACTGTATTGTAGTGTATCTTACAAGAACTGGTCATCGTATTTGATTTATCAATATATCTTAGGTGGTTTGGGCAGTGTTTTGCCAGTGTTGTTTATCACAATCACCTACATTTTCACCATCTACAAACTTTATAAGCATAAAGTCACCGGATTGTCAAGATCAGAACGAAGAAGAAGAGAACAACAAAACAACAAAGTGCTAAAACATGCTGTGACAATAGTGGTTTTGCTTTATCTTTGTCGCGGTCTTCGGTTGACTGTTTACATCTTGCATCTTAAAGGAAAGCTGAGGCACCTCTCGTTCTCATCGTTTCTCAATTTGCATTATTTCTCACTTCTCATTTACTGTATCAGTCTTGTGTATAACTTCTTCATCTATCTCATCTTCAATGATATTTACCGTGAGAATGTCAAAGCTTTGATACCTAAGTGTAGTTGTCGATCTGACTTTAACCGAAGGCAGCAAATACCAGATGAGGGTGGAAGGGAAATTATAGAGATGSAGCCACTCAATTGAAGCCAAGATTCACCGAAAAAAACTGCAATAAATAAAGTAAATCTGTGATACAATAAAAAGAGAAGGAAAAACTGCAATTGATACTCTCAGGGTATCACGGTCTTTTTACGAAAAAAACACTGTCTATCAAATCTACCAGCAAGTTAAAATGCACGAGATTCCTACAGTAATGTTAGTCAGTGACAGTACATTCTGTCTTGAATTAAAAATGCCATGACCAATGGCCAAACTGGCCATGGCCAGAAAATCCGGACATTTGAGCCCGCAATCGTAGCGGTACTTCGCATAAATGCATAAAAACATGAATGTAAATTTTACAAAGAAATGTATGGATCAAAAAAAACATTTGAGAATAACATTTCATCTGTTTTAATTGGAAAAATTCCATAGATGGATTCGTAAAGGGAAACCATTCTTGATCCCACTGTAGGAAATCCAAAGAAATCCAATATTGTTAACAGCGTCCATTTTGACAATATATTTTCCTTTCGTCGTCTCCCTTTGGACTTGTATTTCATGGTGAAAATTCGCGAAGAAGCGAAATTTCACCGTGGCTGATCGTGTTCCTTTACATTTCACTGAAATTCCATAGATCACTTCTCAAAGTCCACATATTGAAGTAGGAACACAGCGATTTTCCGCTATTTTGAAGACGATCAACAGCGTCCATTTTGGTACTAGAAATCGTACAAAAACTAACTTGACGGTGAAATGGCTGGCGAAGACGCGTGTTTCACGCGAATAATTGGCCTCGATCTTCCATTTTCTTTTCATTTTATACGCCATGTTTGGTACCAAAATAAACCTTAGAAACGTGGCTTTCAGACTAGCACTACTTTAATTTTGTCGGTTTTTACTGGCGCCTTGCGCGCAGTGGTGAATAGCGGGAAATACGAACGAAAGATCAAGTCTACGCTATTTAGTGTAAACAATGTCAGACCTTTTAAATTCCTTACAAATGTACAAGTATAAACAAAAGATCACAATATCANAATTACTAGCAAAGGCAGCTTGAACCCTCGACGGTACGAAACAGTTTGGTTATTAAAAGAATATTAGAACTATCATATTGTTACTCTATACTGTAAGTATAGTAGTATAGAAATATGCTAGTCTCATTAACTCAGAAAAATGCTCACCAACAGAAAACAAGTTCAGGCCTTCGAAATCAGGTAACATCAAGGAATACCATATATGGAAGTCAAGCGAATGATATTTCGTTCTAAACTTTATTATTTAATGTTTCCCACAATGCACAATAATGTCATGGAATGTCGACATTAATAAATGCTCAGAAACAGTAGGAGGTTTTTGATATATATCATATGATATATCATGTATCAATGCATATGATTGCTCATGTACATTTTCTTTGATTTACAGTCATTCTGTCTCCCTCTGGACGATAATCCATAATTCGAAAATATCCACTTAGCCTTTTTAACGAAAGAATGGTTTAGTGTGACGTTATAATACCGCAGGGAAACTGACACTTCCTTAAGATAGACAATTTTCACGATCAATAAAGTTATTTTTAGAGTTATTACGTCATTTTAATAAAGTACTTTTTTTCATTAAGAGGTTAGATACGTCCGTTGCCGGTTCCGAGATAAATRGATTACTATATCTAACGGTCGCACTGCTGGAGGAAAATAACACTTTTTAGCTGTAGTGAAGTCATCAATCTGAATMGTTCCGGTGGGGGGTAGGGGAGCTGTATTGAAGTCATCAATCTGAATCCTGGCGGTGTGGGGTAGGGAACTGAACTGCAGTGAAGTCATAAATCTGAATCGTACTGGTGACAAGTTTCAATTGCTATTGTATTTTTGTAWTTTTTTTATGTCATGCTTAGCCGGAAAACWTAAGAGTCCACTGTATAAAAAAGTTACCCCACCAAAGTGGCATTTCAAACCCYAAAAATGTCGAGGGATCTCTACCCGTTTTTCAAGGGAGTCCTCCCTCGGGAATCGTCTGATCAAAGTAATAGCAGTCGAAAAATACATATTAGAAAAGTAAAACAAAACTGTAGTAATTTATATAACAACCTGAGCAATGTAAATTATTCTGCAACAACAAGCAAATTAAAACAAAGCGAAATATAAATCAAATCAAACAACAAGAACGCATTGTGATGAAACTAAAATGAAACTAAAAATGCAGTGAAAATAAGGAAAAGAATATCAAATAAGGACGGAAGGAAAGAAAAATGAAGGATTCAAATGATTGTGAAATTTGCTTTTTCATAGACTTAAATTTATGCTGATCAATGCGTAATGAGAAAGTTACTCTTTAGCTTTAAAGGTGGCAGTCTGCATGTACAAGCATGAAAACCGTCTAATATTTTATTATGTTTCCTCACTGATAAACTGCATGACCTATATGGATATACACGGATGCATTTGCAGCGTAGGAACTGAAGGAAACACAATTTCATTTGCCGACGCAATTTTTTCATATATAGTAAATTACAACGCATAAGAGTTTCCAAAACTAATCTGATTAAGAAATATGCTCCGCCAAACATCACATCAAGATGAGATTACATCCTGTGTGTGTAATCACCAGCTGAACTTCAGGCTTTAAGATATCTTAATTTATAAAGAAATGGATGTTGTGGGTGGACAGCCGTCTGGCTTGGGTGGACAGTCGTCTACCCCACATTGTACTTTTGTTTGCGTAGATTTCAACATTAAAATACGAAAAACTCCCAAAACTTACTACCATTTTGATGTGATTCTTCTTGTGCTGGGGAACATTTGTTATCGAAACTATTACTCTTTCGTAGTTCACTGGTTCACGCTRTGAGCTTAGTCTCCTTCTTGGTTCCCTGCGACTTCTTGAAATGTAGCTGTGGGTGTGAAAGTTTCTATCATCACACTCACAAATAATTGTTCACAGGTTTCTATCCTTGCAAGCTCAACGTTCGTCTTGCTTCGATGTAAGGGCACGGTTGCCTTTCAAGATGTCGCAGGAAATCGCAAAGAAGACTATTCAGACCATATATTGGATATTCGAAAWTTTTTTAAAGGAACTGCAATATACTATCATTCAACCTGATGACAGGCAACATTTTCGTGTTGATTTTCTTTCCAATTTTTTATTTTGTAAATGTAACCTTCCCCAAACTCCTATCTTGACTTTCTTTGTTCTTCAGATGATCTATCCCTTAACAAATTCTGCAATCCTGCGCATGAAAAAATTGTCAATTTGCCTCTCATTTATAATCACACTAATCTTTGATGTGCACGAAAGGTTTTAAACGTTAAAACTCGTCATGTTGCATAATCATCTTCTAAAGCTTGCCTAAAACGAGAAGTTATCAGTAAAATCTGATTTCAGAATTCTCTATTTACGTATGCGTTGTCATAGCTACGCCAATTAAGTTAAAATTAACATTTATCAAAACATCCATCTTTAATTGGTGGCTTTCTGGTGTTGAGGGCAGATCTGATCAGATCAGATTCCCGAGATGAAATGAAAAAAGTGGTTGAGAATTTACCACTGCGAACCACCTTAAAAACACATCAATTATATAAAGTACATTATATTTTACCGGAGACGAGAAAAAAACAAAACATGCTCACCAATACCGAACAGATTAACGTGTTCAAGCAATAAAGCGGTTAGATTTTCATCTAAATGAGGCCCTCATATTCATATCAGTGTGATATATCGCGGACATATTTCTGTCTACCGGCGTCTGAGATGAAATATTAAGGTCACCGCGATAGAAGTGTTTTCTGCAATCAAAATTCATTAGTTGGGATAAATACTCGAATGGAACTGTAAAAGGATGAGGAGATAGTAAAACGTTTCTAAATTATCAACAATAAAAGGTTATTCTTTAAAAACACACGGTTTACATCCTGTTTATCAATGATTGTCGTGCACTTAGTTCGACATAATGGAGTCAGTCAGTCGAGAGCACGTACAGATTGTTTTTTACCCCTGTTGTTTCACTTTGTATGAGACTGTGTACATTTTAGAATCATGCATAGTCTCCCAATATGTCTTATTCCTTATTGACACTTTATTACAAAAATGCTTTCATAGATAGAGAAATAGAATATTTGGAGAAAGAAAGAATAAATAAATTAAAAAGAGAAACAAGAGCTAAGATTACTAAGTCCAAAGACTTTCTTTTTTTYAATTCATTCTTTTTTYATTAAAGTAGTGCAAATGTTCTATTTCAGCTATGACAACTGAATATTCTTGCAATCAAGTAAAATCTAAAATGATTTTAGAGTCATAGAATCAGGTCCAAAGGGCAAAATGACTGCAAACACTAAAATCAAGAAATAAACACTATTCGGTAAGTACTTTTCCACGCTTAAGGATAGTATTTGCACTCTCAAAACCCGTAACTATTTTTTATGCTAAAAATGAAAGGTTTCTTGGAAGACGAGGAGCATATTGGTTACAAGACTTTGTCAAAAACATTTGATGAGCAAGTGATTTGCGCACGCTCTCATCTGATATGTTGAGACATGCCGCTGCTCCGTCGTTTCAGAGTTTCTATTAATACATAAAACTCTGGAAACTGTAGTTGTTGAATATTCCTGAATTGCGCTGAATTCCCTTGTTTTTTTTGGCTAATCTACACTTTATTGCGCTATTTACCACTGTTTGTTCAGAACTTTTTCACGCTTTTGGTGTTTACAGTTTAGTATAAGAAAACAAAATAGTATTACTAATGTTTCACGCTTTAAATATATATGCACTCTTTGTGAATCAAAATGTTTTCTAATGAAGCTAATGAATTTCATAATTTTGTTTACGACGAAGCAAATATGTTTAGKTTGCCCAGCGTGAAGTCCCAGCAGTGCTTTACCTCCTTGCGCCGCGAGCTTAACCACGCCAAKAWTTTTTAACCACTACAAAACAGTCCAAAATGTTTAAAAGCGTCTATTTGAGCGTTATCTAACCATAACCAAGTTGAAAGACGCATTGTAAAGTTTAKGTTTTTTGTGTAAACATTGAAAGTTTTATAACTCCACTGA